CTTTACAAAAAAATCAAAAAATTAACTGGGCATGGTGGCACACATCTGTAGGTCCCAGCTACTCTGGAGGCTGAGGCAGGATAGCTTGAGCCCAGCAGGTAGAGGCTGCAGTGGGCTGTGATTGTGCCACTGTACTCTAGCCTGGGTGACAGAGTGAGAGACCCCTAACTCAAGAAAAACAAAACCACCCCCCACACACACACACATATTTAGAAAATAGATACTGATTCAAATCTTGACTTGTACTATTTGGGGATCTTCTGTCACTTTTCTGAGGAAACAAAAATACCCTTACAATATCCCCAAACTGGAAGCAATCCAAATGTTCATCACTGGTGTGAATGGACAAAGTGTCATCTGTCCATACAGTGGATACGTTTCTGATCATTAATAAGAAATAAAAGGAACAGACCACTGATAGGTGCGAACCTGGCTCATCCTAGCCACAAGTCATATTCAGGGATCAATGCAGCAACAGCCATCCCCACAGTGTCCTCAGCCACCGTCACTGGAGACACGAAATCAAGGTCTGCTACGCCTAAAGGGTCGTTGTACGTTGGTCCCATCAGTTCTGTTACGTGTTTAGGTGGTAGTGATTTTGTGCATTGATGCAGGCATCACTGCAGCCAGTTTCGGACACTTCTGCCGCCCCCAGGAGTTTCCTGTGACTGGAGTCCCACACGCACCGTGGAGGAAGGGCGGGGCTTGCTGAGTGCTTGGTTTCCCCCGAGCGGCATGATTAGTCAGGTGTTAGGTGGCCGTGCTTCCATTTCTTAGTAAACACCAAGCATCGGTTCCTGTTTCTTCTGGTGGCTCTTGTGTTTTCAGTGTGTACCAGTGTCACCCGTGGGCTTCAGTCTCTGAGAAACGAAGACCTTTGGGTTGAGTGTTTCCTGTCTTGTTTACTTAGTGAGTCTCTGAAAATCTCGGCCACTGTAGATTTTCTAAATTGGCAGTTTTCCATTTTAAGCTTTCTATTTCAGGTCAGAGCCATTTACAAAATGAAAGGAAGTGTCTCCCTTTATTTCAGCTGTTGGGTCTATGCCAGAATATTTTTTTAAACTTTCCTGAGGTCAATTTTGATTTTGTTTCCTAGTGAATCATTTGGGGTTTTCTTGGGATTTTGAATCTTGACCAAACTATTCCTAAGAAAGACTTCTGAAATAGTGTTTATTTCCTAAATAGGTTTTTGTTTTCTGAAAGTCAATGATTTTTAGAATACACTGGGTTATTTAAATCTGGTTTTTCCTGCCTGATGCTTTCAGCTGTTATGTCAAGGGTTTAGTAATTAAGTTGGCATAGATATGATATTTCAAAATATTAAGTATCTTAACAAATTCCTAATTCCGCAGCAAATTTCTGTCTGTCTTCCTGAGTTTTAGGAAAGTCCTTAAGTACAACCGTTCAGGTATGTCCTAGACCAGGGCTTAAATTAAAGTTCTATGCATCTGCCTTCTGCTCTAGCAATTCAAAGAGACCACCGTAGGATATATAATTGTTCCTTTCCTAAGAAACCCTCAGAAAAAGCCGTTCATTTCACAGGGGAGGGAAGGGAGCAGAAGGAACTAGAAGGTTTATGTCGTAGTATAAGTAGAGACACAGTGGCTCAAGTGGGTTTCTGAAGGTTTGAGCAGGGAGTGTGTTTTCTCTTGAGGCCTTAGAATGCCAGTTAAAGAAGTTATGGAATGGCATTTTGTCTGTGGTTATAGTTCCTCTTATGGCATTTCAAAAGCTGGCCATGTGCTCAGTCCTTAAGCCAAATTTTTTTTTCACTTACCAATGTCGGTGCAAAAATTAAGACTATATTGGAAGTTTGTAAAAGATAGGCATTCTTCTGAGAAGTGTGGCTTTGATCATGTAAACCTATTAAAATTGAGAGATTATTATAGTCAATAAAAAGGTAGTTAACTGGAAAAAGGTACATAAGAACTTTCTGAGTGATGCAAATGTTTTAAATCTTCAGGAGGGGTGTGTTTATGGGTTATGCAGGTGTTGGCTTACATGAAAACTTATTTAACTGTAAACCTTAAGAATTGTAAACTATTCCTAAATAGAAATGATTTGAATGCTTACAACGATTTTTTTTTTTTAACAAGTGTATTCTTACAGATTCTCTGTTTTCCTGACCAAGCAGAGGGCCATATAATCCACAGCCCTGTAGTTTTTTTGTTTGAGTCGGAGTCTCATTCCTTCGCCCGGGCTGGAGTGCAGTGGCATGCACACTCACAGCCACCCAAACGTTGACCTTTTGGGCTCCAGCGATTTTTCCACCTCAGCCTTCCAAGTAGCCGGAACCACAGACATGCTACCATACCCGGCTATTTTGTATTTTATTATAGAGACGTGGGCTCGGGCAATTCACTCTCCTCGGCCTCCCAAAGTGCTGGGATTACAGGCTGAGCTACCGAGCCCGGCCTCCTATGGTTATTAACCTAAAATTACTATCTTCTAAATTGATAAGATAGTGTCTTTGGGAAGGTCTTGCAGGTGACCCCAGTACTAAAGTTGGCTCACTCACCTTTGCTTCACATGGTTGGTAACTGGTTTTTATCCTCATCAACCTCGAGCTCTTGGGACCAGCTTGGACTGGATTTGAGGATTATTGGGCCTGGGCCTCCACCTATTCCCCATGGGATGCTTACTCAGTAAATGGAAACAAGACAGCCCAGGACAAAACAAACCGGAGACAGAACTTTACACAAATAGATAGAAGCTAAGCAAGGAGCTGGAGAATTAAACGAATACAAAAGTGTTTACCCAGTAGCACAACTTGATATCAAAACCGACAGGCTTCATTGCCTTGCACAAAGTCCTGTGTGGTTACAAATTCCAGGATAATGCAATTATTTCAGCAGTGTGAGCTCAGACCCAGGGTGGTACTTCCATCACAAATTGAGAGAACGAAGAGTTGGGCGCAGGGATCATTCAGTTGCCTGGCTGAGGTCCTTGGAATCACGCCAAGCTTTTTAAGTCCAACAGTGAAAGGACGAGGGATAGCGTTTCCTATCTGAAAAAATACACAGAGGTGAAATTACTGATTACTTAAGGAAAAGGCTTTCCTTGTCAAATACTGCCTCCCCAGAGCAGAGCAAGACTGCTGGTCTCATAGGACTTGGGGCAACTAGGAAATTCAAGGATAGGCAGACCTTCAAGTCAGCAACGAGTTAATGTTAGCAGTGGAAGCACTGTCACTCAGGTGGGCGCTATTGGCTGGGTGGTGCTCAGACGTGTGCTTGTGTGTTAGGTGACTCCATGCCTGGCTGGCTGACTTTTGAAGTCAGGAGCCATCACTGACTGGTCGGTTTACAGAGGCAACTGAGGCCGGTTATTATTGGTTGATTAAATGCATTTAAACCGGTTCTAGAGGTTACTTGCTACTGTGACTTCAAGACTGTCATGTCTTGGTTAAGAAGGCTTAAAGCCTGTTCTCGTGGCTACTTTTGTGCATGGCTCCTTACCCTTTAGTTTTTTCTAGGAATGTGGAAGCCTTTTATTCTTGTGTAATGCCCCATTCTGAAAACTTTTCAGACCCTCTACCCTTACTAAAATTTCATCATGATTTGCCTTGGCATAAGTTGTTTCTCTTTGATTTTATTTTGTTTTGATTTCCACTGTTTCACCACACTAAACACTTGGTAGACATTTTCAATCTGGGACCTCCCATTCTTCAGTTCTGGCCCTGCCTCCAAGCCATCTCAGCTCCTTGCGTGAACCTCACCCCACTTCAGGAGTAGGTATTTGGTCTTCTGCTTCCTCTGCCAGTTTATTTACATTTCTCGTTCGTCCAACCCAGGGCTTGGCCAGAGAGTAAATACTTAGGCTTCGTGACCCAGAAGGCCTCTGTTGTAACTACTTTGCTGTTACAGCTCGGAAGCCATGGACAGTACACAACTGCATGGGCGTGGGCTGTGGTAGAACTTTTTGTAACAAAACAGGTGATAGGTTGGGTTTGTTTTCAGACCCCTGCCTGCTGTTTCCCATTCAGCTTTCTAGAATATTTGCTCAGTGAGGGCAGGGATTTTTGTTGCTTTGTTCATTGGGTGTATCCCTGCACTCAGTGAGCACTCGACTGTTGTGGTACATCGTTCCAGGTGGCTCGTAGGCTGTTTGTATTTGTCCCTGATCTTGTTTTGGGATGCTTTCTGAGAAAGAGTGCATATGTCGTCGCTATCATCTTGTTACCAGTAGTGCTGTCTTCCAGCTCACATTTTTGTCATTAGTACTTCATTTTTTTGTGCAGGGGCAAGCTCATGGTCACCGCAGCCTCCGCCTGCTGGGCTCAGGCAATCCTTCTGCCTCATCCTTCCATGTAACTGGAACTGCAGACACACACCACCACGCCTGGCTCTTTTTTTATTTTTTATCGTAGGGGCGAGGTCTCACCAAGTTGCCCGGGCTTTTGGTCTCGAACCTCTGAGCTCAAACAGTCCTCTTGCCTCGGCCTCCCAAAATGCTGGGATTAGAGGCTTGAGCCACAGCACCTGGCAGTACTTCATTCTAAGTTAAGGTAGGACTGAAAGTCGCATATGTGATTTTGTAGTTTCCTTTGGTAAGTCTGTTTATAGATTGATCTATATTGCACTCCATACATATTAGTGCTGGATAGTATCAATTTACATAAATCTACTTGTCTCTGTGTTTTATTTATATAAGAATCACATGAGGCTGGGCATGGTGGCTCATGCCTGAAGTCCCCAGCACTTTGAGAGGCAGAAATGAGAAGACTGCCTGAACCCAGGGGTTCAAGACCAGCCTGGGTAATTTGCCGAGACCTTGTCTCTACAATAAATTAAAAGAAAAAAAATTAGCCAGGTGGGATGGTGTGTGCCTGTGGTTCTGGCTTCTTGGAAGGCTGAGGTGAAAGGATCGCTGAGTCCAGCAGGTCAAGCCTGCGGTGGTCGTGAGCGTGCCACTGCACTCCAGCCTGGGCGACAGAGCGAGAGTCCAACTCAAAAAAAAGCAGCAGCAACAGCACATGAACACAAAGACTTGACTTAGAATTCTTTTTTTTTCCGTTTAATAGGGTCCTACGTTGTGACAGGCTTGCACCATGCGTGAGTACAAGCTAGTCGTTCTTGGCTCAGGAGGCGTTGGAAAGTCTGCTCTGGTAAGTCGTTCTTACTTTGTCCAGGCTTTTTGTTCCTTGGTTTTCTTTTACTGTTGAGTTTTGAACTTTGGTTACTTGTCTGTATTTGTTTGTTTGTTTGTTTTCTTGAGTTGGAGTCTCACTCCTTTGCCCAGGCTGGAGTGCAGTGACAGGCACGCTCACAGCCACCCCAACGTTGACCTTCTGGACTCCAGCGATCCTTCGGCTTCAGCTTTCCGAATAGCCGAAACTAAAGATGCGTGCCATCACACTCGGCTGTTTTTTAAATTTTATTGTAGAGACAAGGTCTCATCAAGTTGCCTGGACTGGTTTTGAGCCCGTGGGCTTAGGCAGTCCACTCCCCTCGGCCTCCCAAAGTGCTGAACCACCGAGCCTGGCCTGTATATGTTAAGGTGAAATCCCACAAGGAGTTTAGAAGCAATATCAAAACTTGTAAGAATTCTTTTTCAGATATTAACTTTGTCCAGTTTTACGTGATTTTAATGGTCATATTTCCTGCATCAAGCAATAGTATATAGCAAGAATGAAGAGACAGCTTGGTTGTGAGGGTTGGGGAAGGAGAGAAACTTAGGAGGAATGACTTGATGACCAGTTCAGAGCTTAGCAGAGCCCCCAAGAAAATAGATTAATCTTCTTTTTCTTCCTAGTGAGACAAACCATCTTACTTGGCCACTTAGAGTGGCAGCCTAGCTCAAAACTTGATGTGCTTGGATCAAACTGAGTAGCGTATACAGTGTGACATGAAATGTTTTTTAATTTGTATCCAAAGTGATGGAAGGTGTGTTGAGTGTGTGTATAGACAACATTTAGCCAGTTTCTAATTCAAATTCAAATTTCAGTGCTTAGTCTGAAATAGGAGACATTTAAAAAATGTTAAGTAGATGACTTCAAAACTTAGATCTACTAGTAAGGAGCACAGTGATTATTAAATTTTTTGTTGTTGAGATAAATAAGCTTAATGAGGTCATTTTCCCACCCAAATGCATACATTCGAATGTAGTATTGCTTATGTCTTTTTCATCAACAGTGTGACTACTTATGTGAAATCAGTAGTTGAAAATTTACAGATCTGAATTTTTTTTTCAGAAATATAATGGCATGTTAATTTTTTTTCAGACTGTACAATTTGTCCAAGGAATTTTTGTTGAGAAATATGATCCTACAATAGAAGACTCGTATAGAAAGGTATATACTACTTTAGAAGGCCTTTTGATTTTAATACAGTTGCTTGTTTTTAGCTGTGTAATACTGAATGTTGTATCTAATGTAGGATGAAGAAGAGTTAAGTACGTGAGAAAGGGTCCCACTTGATTATTTCCTATCATTGCGTGCTTACCAGTTTCAAGAGAATCATAAACACTCACACTCAGAGAATTTTAAGTTTATCCTGACTTCAAAATTGTGATTTGACAATGAACTTGAAAACAGACTGTCCATTTCAACTAGTAGCTCCGTTTCCTCAAACCCCCCTGGAAAGCCCCTTCTTTTAACTCAGAGACAGTTGTGCAGAAGTGCCCTGAATGTCACTGCACCTAGAACAGGCTGAATATCTCTTATCTGGAATGCTTGGGACCAGAAGTGTTTTAGACTTCAGACTTTTTGGAGGGTTGGAGTATTTGCATATATACATAATGAGATATCTTGGGGATGGGACCCAGATCTAAACACAGTTTGTGTATATTTCATATATACTTTATCCACACAACCTGAAGGCAACTTTATACGATGCTTTTAGTAATTTTGTTCACAAAACGGAGGTTTCTTTTTTTTATTTTTTGAGTTGGAGTCTCCCTCTGTCACCTAGGCTGGAGTGCAGTGGCATGCTCACGGCCACCGCAGCCTCGACATGCTGGGCTCAGGCGATCCTTCCACCTCAGTCTTCCAAGTAGCTGGAACTACAGGTGTGTGCCACCATGTCCGGCTAATTTTTTGGTTTATTTTAGAGATGAGGTCTTGCCAAGTTGCCCAGGCTGGTCTTGAACTCCTGGACTCAGGCAGTCTTCTTGCCTCCGCCTCCCAAAGTGCTGGGATGACAAGCATGAGCCACTGCACCCGGTGGAAACAAGGTTTCAGCTGCGACCTGTCACATGAGCACAGGTGTGAAATTTTCCACTTGTGGCATCCTGTTCCACGTTTTTCCAAAAACTTTGGATTTGTAGCATTTTGGATTTTCAGATTAGAGATGCTCAACCTACAAAAAGGTGAATTCCTGTGTCTGTTGACAGCATGTGACAGTAAGACAATGTGTTGACATTTTTGATTTAGGGAGGGAGAGCTGTCTCCCCACCTTCATGTAGCAGCCAGACTGTCCTACCCCCTTCTTCCCCCCACTGTTGTGCAAGTTCTGTGCTTACATATCTCCCTCCATGTCCATAGCCTACTGGAAGAAACTGAAAACTCCTTTCTGCATCGCAACTGTGGGCAGTGTTCCTCTCTTCTTCATACATCCGATTCTAAGTCATCTTTTTCCTAGGAAATACTAGGCGAAAGGGGTAACAGAGATACATGTATGATTTATTGGACAGATGTAGCACTGCTTCCTTGCCACCATAAATCTCATGTCGGTATGATGAGAGGACGTGATTATCCAGAGAAGTGAGGGATATGTCCAAAGCCTTATGGGAGAATTGAAGTGGACAAAATTACGGTGGCTAATTTTATCTGCTCATTTAGTCGAGCTATTTTGAAATTATTTCTTCTCTAAGAATTAAGTGCTGCATGATTCATATTGAGAATGACCTTGTGGGTATCAAACCTAGTATGCAGTTCAGGGGTCTGAACATGGTTCCTTAGCTATTTTTCCTCCTCTTTTGTGAAAGTATTGGCTGATACTAGTTTGTAAAGTTGTTGTAATCTGTGTCTCTGTCTTCAATGTGAGTTAACTTTTGTGTATATTAAGGTAATTTTATGCATGTCAAAAAATTGACATTGTGTATGTTTTCTCCCAGCAAGTTGAAGTAGATGCCCAACAATGTATGCTTGAAATCTTGGATACTGCGGGAACGGTATGTACAATGAAATACCAGTAGGCACAGCTGGTACTCTAGTGACTTAACTGCATGCTGTTACTCTATAGATACCTGTTACTTAAGCTTATTTAAAAGTACTACTTGAATTAACTCTTTGAAGCTGTTTTTCTTACTCTCTTGAATTCTACTTATTGCACTTGGTAATTACAGTGGGTCAATTATTGAAGAGTTCATTAGGACATTTGTTAGAGTGAAAATTTTCAGTCTCACTAGTACTCTTAAAGGAACTTAATAGATTACCGTGTTTCAAATAATACAGAAGGTGCTTGGGCATACCAGTATTCCTCAGAGGCACGGAATCAGGTTTGAGTACCTGACATGTGCCAGACATTGTGTGTGTTCCCTCACATGCACACAGTCTAGTGCAGGAGTCATGTGGAGGATGGCTGCGCTGTTGGCAAGCCACTGAGGCCCCGAGAACTAAAGCGTGTGAGCTGGCCGGGCGTGACTTGGACCTGCGACTGGTCATGTGACAATAAAGCAACTTAAACACGTTGTGGCAGATAAAAAGGCTACCTTTAAGTCGCTCGTGTATGTTTGTTGTATATAAATCTACTTGGGTGTATTGTTTTACGTAAACATTTTTCTTAAAATACCAATTTTTCAAATAGCTTGCCGTGGACTATACTTTTCAGAAATGCTACGTAATTCTACAGTATTCTTCACTAAGCTGTAATTCTAGACTTTGAAAATTGTCAAGTTAACTGTCAAAACATACTTGTTTTTTACTGTCTCTTCCTTTTTTATAGGAGCAATTCACAGCAATGAGGGATTTGTACATGAAAAACGGGCAAGGCTTCGCCTTAGTTTACTCCATCACAGCACAGTCCACATTTAATGACTTACAAGATCTGAGAGAACAGATTCTTCGCGTTAAAGACACTGATGATGTAAGCTGACTTCCTAACAAACATATTTATTTCAAAGCCCTTGTTATAAGGGCATCCAGTTTCAAAGTTTAAATTTGAACTCATTTTAAAGTTCATGAATGGCAAGTGAGGGTTTGTTTTCCAAAAACATTTTTGTAAAAAAGACTCATACACATTTTCAAATAAATGTTGTGGAAAGTGAGAACATTTCTTCTTTTCCATTATCCTGCAAAAGTTAAATGCTACATACCCTTCCTATTTTTAAATCAGGCATTTGGTGGGGAAGAAGGCGGGGTGATGGGTGATGACTTAACTTTTTCTGACTTAATGTGAGAAACTAAAGTTTCCACTTTAGGGACTTTCCAAATTTCTCCTTTTTGTGTTGTGCAATTGAGAATGCTTTTTTGATAAATGCATGTGAAGAAACCAGAAAACTTAAAGTTGATTCATATCCTTTTGATGTTTCTCCTTTAAAGAAACATTTTTAAATGCTTAAATAAATTGGCTTTTTACAGTAACACCCTTTGGTACTTTCTTTTAGAAAGGTTATATGTTTTGCTTACCATAAATTCTAAGTCCAGCCATGTGTGGTGGTTCACGCCTGTAATCCCAGTACTTTGGGAGGGCAAGGCAAGAGGATTGCTTGAGCCTGGGAGTTTCAAAGCAGCCTGGGCAACATGGCTAGACCTCGTCTCTAAAATAAATTTTAAAAAATTGACTGGGCATGGTGGTTCAGCCTGTCATCCCAGCACTTTGGGAGGCCGAGGCAAGATGATTGCCTGAGCCCAGGGGTTCGAGACCAGGCTGGGCAACTTGGTGAGACCTTATCTCTACAATAAATTAGAAAAACTAGCCAGGCGTGGTGGCGTGCATCTGTAATTCCAGCTACTTAGAAGACTGAAGTCTTCCAAGGATAGCCTAAGCCCAGCGGGTTGAGGCTGCAGTTGCCGTGAGTGTGCCACTGCATTCCAGCCTGGGTGACGAGAGTGAGCCTCCAACTCAAAAAAAAAAAAAATTAGCCAGGCACAGTGGTGCACGGTGGTGTGCGCCTGTAGTCCCAGCTACTTGGGAGGCTGAGATGGAAGAATCGCCTAAGCCTAGTAGGTTGAGGCTGCCATAGCCGTGATTATGCCACTGCACTCCAACCTGGGCAACAGAGTGAAGCTCTGACTCAAAATAATAATAATAGTAGTAGTAGTAATAATCCCACAGTGATATCATTGTAAGATTTTTCCCCCCGATAATAGTAATAATAATTCCATAGTGATATAATTGTGTTTCCCGCATCTTTTATAAGTGGACCATAGCTTGTTGTATAAAAAATTTTCTTTGTGAAAGGTTCTTATTTCTATCTCTGTTGACTAGATTATGAACATTTTACTTAACACGTGAAAATGTTCCGTCTTTCTCTCCACCCTTTGAAGTGATCGTTTGTCTCCTCCATGAGAAGAGAAGGCACTGGAGATAACTAATCACATAATTGGCCTGAAAGTTAATACTTAATGTTTGTCTTACAAGTTAGCATTGCTAAGGCTTTTATATTTTACCTGTGTTTTTAATCACACTTTATTGTTAGTATTTTTCTTTGGTGTTGTATGAAAAGTAATTGTTAGAGTTTGCTCTTAAAATTCTTTTTACTTGAATTCATGTAGCATGTTTACGTACGTATTTTTACTCTCACAAATGTACTTTTAGGTTCCAATGATTCTGGTCGGCAACAAATGCGACTTGGAAGATGAAAGAGTTGTAGGAAAGGAACAAGGTCAAAATCTAGCAAGACAATGGAACAACTGTGCATTCTTAGAATCCTCTGCAAAATCAAAAATAAATGTTAATGAGGTATGGTCAGATATGCTTACAGCAGCTCTTTCTTTGGAATACGGCACTGAAAACTAACGGAAAATCTGCGTGTGTGTTAACACAACCCCAAGCTAATATTGAACTCAGAGTGATATGTTGGCCTTACTGGCATCAAAAAGAAAGAGGACTTACGTTAAATATATGTATGTAGTAAGTAAGCAACAGTACTACTTCAGTCTTCTTACTAAATATGAGTACAGTGAAATTCACCATGAAAGAGGAAGACCGAACAGAAGAGACAGGAATAGGGAATACAGATTAAGTCTTCAGTCGTATGAAGGATGTTGTATAGGGGAGAGAGGCAAAAATTCCAAAAGGCCTGCGTGGCTCTTGGGGTCGTGTTGTAGGGCAAAAACACAAAGAAAGAGTCGGGCGTAGCAAAGAAAGTTTTCCAGTGTGACAGTAAATGTTCTCTTCGAACTAAGAGAAGATTTCTGCAGCTCCTTCAACTAAGTACTTGTCTTAAGAAGCACAATTTTAACCCTCCCCAAAACTAAACAAACAGAAAATAACTTGACGGGTTATAAGAATGCCTGGTATTGCTCTAATTCCCTAATAGAATAGTTGCTTTCTGGGAATTCATTTATATCTGTGAAAACATCTGTTGTTCCAGCTCACTTTTTAAATTTTTGTTTTTAGTGGGGTTTTTTTCCTCCTGTAAATTAAAAAAAAATTTATATTTGCAGATCTTTTATGACCTAGTGCGGCAAATTAACAGAAAAACTCCAGTGCCTGGGAAGGCTCGCAAAAAGTCGTCATGTCAGCTGCTTTAATAGACAGAATGCATTGTAGCTCTGAGCCAGGTATGTTCATTTTTCTTTCCTCTAACTTTGAGTCGCTCAACTTCATTAAGGTCACTCTGTCATGAAAGCAAGTATAGAATCTTTTTGTTCTCAAAAATAATTGTTTGCTTCCTTTTTAAGGCATCCGTGAGTTAGTATGATAGCCTATGAGTTAAAGTGATTCTTTTGTTTACCTGTCACATAAGTGAGTGGGTAGTCTAAAAAGGTTCGTTCAGTATATGCTCATGCCCTGATGGGACACTGGCTGGGATGGGCCATACGGTGGCGAGCAAGGCCGACCTTCTCTCCTTGCTCTTAGCTACCGCGAGCTATTAGGGTGTGCTGAAAGAGACAAGCAGCTGCAAAACGTGAGATGTGCCAAGGTAGCAAGAGTGCTGCAGAGACTGCCCATGGCAACTCCTGACACCTCTACCAGGGGCCAGGCTCTCGGCACATTACGTAATCGCAACCTCACAGCAAGCTGGGAGGCGAGAACTGTCGTTATTCCAATATGTCAGATGAGGGAGATGTGGTACAGAAGACTGTCATGCGTTCAAGCCCTGCAGTCAGTGAGGAGCGGAGCCAGGTTTTGAACAGGCCCTACTGAGCCCCCTGCGCTGGGACAGGTCCTGGGGAGCCAGTACTAGGGGCATCAGCCGTGGGCTGAGGGCTCAGGGAAAGTGTCAAAGTAAGAGACACCCAAGCTGAGATCTGAAGGGCAGGGAGGACTGAGCCCTGTTGGGAACGAAGGGGTCCCAGGTACGAGCCAGAGACGTGGTGGCCAAGGAAAGCCGAGCATTTTCAACTAGGCCTGAAGACAATCCTGGTAAACGAGGGGAAGACCCGTCGGGCGGTTAGATCGGTGCCTGGCATGCGGTGGACACTCAGCTCTCGGCTGCTGCTGTCAGCCAGCGGCGACGGCTTCCTCTCTGGCTGTCGTGAGCCACTGATGTATGCTGCCCTATCCGTGAGGGCCTTTGACATGTGTTCTCCGCCACCTCTGGTGTTAAGTGGCACCATCCCCCCATAGCACCTGGGCGCGGCGTTTCTCTGGCGTCTGTCTCTGCCCTCCACATTAGGCTCTCCGTCAAGCGGCACATCCTCTGCTTCCTGACCACACACCTGTTCTTAGCAGCTCACATGTGCGTGAGCGCAATTAACACCCATCTGTCCTTTCCGGTTTGCTACACTCAGCCTGCTAGGATTTTGACCTAGATGACAAACCCCATTCAGGCACCGAGTGAGGACCTCTGGTTCTAGACATTTGTGACAGTTATCTCGGCAGCCACATCTGTATTAGCAACCCTTCTGGGGCCCAGGAAAACCAAGTAAAAAGGGAAACTTTTCATAGTGCAGGCATGGATGTAGAAAGTCACCTAAAGTAAATAAGTATCGAATAGACAACAGTGCTGATTTTACTTCTTTTGTGCCACAAGTATTTTTTAAAACTTAATTACGTGTGAATTTAGTATAAGAGCAGCTTTTCTGATATCCATCTTGAAGTTAATAGAATCCACTAAAGTGTGGAATTAGAAAGTACATTACTGTCAATTGTAAAACTCTGAAGAGCCATCATGAAATACATTGCTTGTGTCCGCTTCAGACCCAGCTTAGCCACTCTTTTTGGGAGAGTATGGTGGAAAGATCTTGATTTTCTGATACTAGAAGCTTTGTTAGACATGCATTCCATACTTAGGATGTCATTCTAGATCGTAAACACAGGACTACCCATTTTATTTTTTTTTATTTTTTTGAGTTGGAGTTTCAGTCTGTCGCCCAGACTGGAGTGCAGTGGCCGGCTTAGACCTGCTGGGCTCCGGCGATCCTTCTGCCTCAGCCTTCCAAGTAGCTGGAACTACAGGCGCACACTACCACGCCCGGCTAATTTTTTGATTTATTGTAGAGATGAGGTCTCGCCAAGTTGGCCAGGTGGGTCTTGAACCCGTGGACTCAGGCAATCCACTCACCTAAGCCTTCCAAAGCGCAGGATTACAGGCTGAGCCATCAAGCCCGGCTAAGACCACCCATTTTAATTTTGCTAATTTTGGCAGTATCTCTTGCCCATAATAGCCCTGGCATGTCTCTCTCTCTCTACTTCCTCTCTTCTTTCTCTCATAAACTTTTGTTTTAAAGCTTAAAAAAAATTAATTTTGCTAATTTTGTTAATATTGCTATCTGTCTTAAATCCTAATTCTAATAAGGTTGACTTGAACTAAAATTGTAATGTGATTTTTTTTTTTCTCTTCAGTTTTTGAAAGGTAATGCACAAAAATTTGCACCAAGATATCTTCCCTTCCCACATCTTTTTAACATTTTCATTTGACTGACTTTCAAGAGGGCAGCAGAACAGACTCCCTGATTGAAGCAAAAAGATAGGAAGACCTGCCGTGGAGTATGGTGCGCCTTGCCATTAATGTAATGGCAGAGCGAGACCCGCGTGATACTCATCTCTAGCGAGTAGGCTGTTGCCTTGCCATTCATTTCCTTTGGCACTTGAGTGTACGGTTGCCAGCCCATGCTTTCAGGTAATGTATTTCCTTCTTTTCTCCACAGGTGTGAAGAACTGTTGCCCAATTCAGCAGTGCCAGCATTCCAACTTTGTTAAACCTACCGACATCTTACATGGACTTTCCTGTGGTGGTACCCTTTAAGAGGCGGATGAAAGCTACTATATAGTTTGCACATTCTAATCACTTTCCAGTATCACGAGAGAGGTTTCTTCTTCTTTACTAGT